AATAAGCTGTCCATGGCTCCGTTTTGCCTCCCTGACCAGCAGGGAGCTGCTGCCCAGCTGTGCCTGTGTGGGTGCGCGCATGCACGGGGCTGGGCCGACTCAGGCCAGGAGTGTCACACTGTGCTGCTGCAGGCAGGTGGTGGTACTGGGCCCAGGAGGGGTGGCTATGGGGGCCTAACATGAATTTGGGGGGGCTATAGCGCCCCAAGGCTCTCTCCAGCACCACCGCCCACCTGCAGAGGTGCAGCACTGTGCAGCATTTCTGGCTGGCTTGGCCCCAGCCTGCCCCCCTGCCCCCAGCCCCATTGGGGGAGGAGCCCCACTTCTGGCTACAGCAGGGAAATAATTGTGAAAGCTAGGGTTTTAAACTGGGCGCAAATGCGCTCAGCTTAAAACACCGATTTCACTTCTCTGCTGATGAGGATCCTGGAGCCTGAAGTTGGTAGGGGCCCCTGGGCTCGTGCCCAGCTGGCCCGTGCATTAATCTGCCTATGGTTGCTGTTGGTGTCCCTGCTGCCCCACAGTGAAGGAGAGCTCTTGTCCTGCTTTAGCCAGGCTGTGTGTGAGCTGGGTTTAGCCCGGGGCACTGGCGGTGGTGGTTGTAGCAGGTTCCCCTTCAATGCCTGCTTCCCCTCAGGTGTTTCCCCTAGTCTGGGAGCAGGCATGGGAAAGGGGAACCTGCCTGCTGCTGCCACCACTGCCACCCAAGGTTGAGCCCAACCCTTGTGTAGCCCAGCTGGGGCAGGACTGGAGCTCCCCTCATCTGTGGAACAGTGCAGACACCTGCCCCGACAGGCAGGGGAAGGAATAGGGAGGAGAAGCTCAGGGATGTGCCTCTAAGTATGGAAGGGAAGGGAAGCCTGGGTGGAACAGGGTGAAAGGGGTGGTTACCTTCTTTGAGCCTTAAAGTTCCCAGATGCTGCTCCTGGGGCACAGCATGCCTGCCCTAGTGGGAAGGAGAGGAAGAAGAGGCTAGGAGCTAGGGGGTGCAGCCACCCTTGCAGCACCAGTTGCCTCTCTCTCACCCTCCCGTTATAAAATTCTGAATCCTCTTCTGCGAAGATCCATAAAAACATGAAACCAAAAAAGTTGGAAAGCCCCCAAACCCTATCCCAAAGCCCAGCTGGGAAATTCCTACCTGCCACAAACTTCACAGTAGCAAGAGAACCTGATCATCCCCAAGCCTAACCCTAGCTGGGGCAGACCCATGGCCTACCCTGCTACCACTAGCCAATAGATTTGTGCCCTAAACATAGACTGATGGGCCCTTTAACCATAACCATAATCATAACCCTATCTTGGGATGCTTCAGCCTAGACCTGGGTGGGAAACCTAAAGGAGCTGAAATCAAACAAAGAGCTTGGAAAATCCCCAAGTCCCATTTTATAGTCTAGTTGACTGATCCTCTCCTGCCAAAGCCCCCATGGTAGCAAGGAGAACCCTACTATTTCAGGGTTCACCAAGCCATGTAAGGAAAACCATCTCCAAGGCTAAGTCTCAATAGGGGAGCCCCAGATTCTACCCCACATTACACTAACCTGTAGATCCCCATCTATTTGAGCTATAAAATTACATGGGGTAGGGGGGTTCCCCACTCATGAATACAGCCAGAATCCTTCACCCCCACTCTAGCATTATCCCTAATCTTAACCATAACTCCAAACTATAACCTTACCTTCTGTTTAGGCTGCTCCAGAAGCCAAAGCCTAATCATGGGTGAAAGCCTCACAGAAGCCAGAAACAGAAACTAAGGTTGGAGAGCCTTCTGAGCATCCTGAAACCTAGATGGGAAGTCTCTGTCACAACCCCCATAGTAGCAAGGGGAGCCTGGCCAACCCAAGTCTGCCCAGGTCCCACCCAACTTAGATTCGCGGGGCCTGTAAGCTCCCATCATGAATACAGCCTAAACCCTTCCCTTACTCTAACCCTAATCCTAGCCCTAGCCCTACCTCAGGCTATCCCAGAAGCCATAGCCTGGTTGTGGGTATGAATCCCATAGAAGCTAGATACTAAAAGCTGTCGGGACCCAGGGCAGCCGGCCAGCAGCTCTCCCTGACTCCCACCCGGGCAGATAAGGGTCCGTCAGGCGGGTACTTGTGACGCATGGAGTGGAATTAATTAGGCGGACGCTTATCGGTTGCAAAGCAAGATTATTTACTCACGCCGTCAAGGTGGTGAAAGACAGAGGTCAGATATACTTAGTTACAGCTTAGAGTTCATTCGGTCGTTCTGCAGACATATATACGGGCCGGCGGTTTTATCGGGCATGCGGGTCAAGGGTACGCCAGGGAGGTCGTGGCGGGAAGACGCTGACAACTGATCAAATTGTCAGATTTACTCCAAGGTGCGGACAGAGTTGTCTTCCATTTGGCGGAAATGTAGCAGGGTTTTGTTTGTATGATAGCCAATTGTTTTTCACCACGTCATAAATTTAATTAGAATCGCCAATTGTATAGTGGTCTTCGCTAGGGTGTTATCATAGGGTCACTCCTTGTTTTCTTTGACCAATTATAATGATTTATGTACAGCACAGAAGGCTAAGTTTCATTTCATGTTGGTGTCGCAGTTATAAATTTCTTTTTGACATGCGCAGCAAAAAACTGTTACTATCTTCTTGTTAGTTAACTCTTAGTTAACCTAGTGCAGACTAAAACTGTTTTGAATGGTTTTACTTGTTTGTGACATGGGCACTACTTAATTTGGTTTGTGACAAAAGCAAGGCTGGAGAGCCCACCATCTCCATCCCAAAGCTTAGCTGATAGATCCTTATCTGCCACAACACACGAAGTAGGAAGAGGAGTTTGACCACCCCCAGCCTAAGCCTATCTGGACAGTGCCAAGTTATGCCCTGCTGGCTAGTAGCTTGTAGAATGCTACTGACATGTGCCTTAAAAATGTAGGTTGTGTGGCTCTTGAAGCCTCAATCATGAACTCAGCCTGAAGCCTTTCCACTTCTCTAACCCTAGCTGTTGTTTGGGCTGCTCCAAAGGCCCCAACCTGAGGCTATAGGGCACAGAGCTATGCAATGAGCTTGGATAGACTCAAACCTCATTCGAAGGCAAGCTGGGAGATCCCTGGTTGCCAAGCATCTGTAGTGGCAAACAAAATTCTACCACTTTTGAGCCTAACCCAACCCATTGGAGTCCAGCCACCCCCAAGACAACCCTTCAGTGCGGGAGCCTAAATAAGATTCTACCCTACTTGCCTATGCCCTAAACTTAGGTTGGGAGGCCCCTTTCATTCCCATTCATGAACACAGCTCCTTCTCTAACCCTATTCCTAACCATGTAATGAGCCTAGGCCCAACTGAGGCTGACTATTTCCCATGCACCAGCTGGAGGTAATCAGAAAATCAAGACTGAGTCAATCCCTTATGAAGAGGTCCCAGCTGCACTCACTATCTAAGCTCAGATCAGACAGCAGAAAGCAGTCTGGACAACTGACTGTTTCATTTCACATCTGGCCTGTTTAGAACTCCTAAACCTGACTTGGGTTTGGCTTGGACTCTCCTCCCAGTTCCTGTTTATGACCTAGATCAAATACTTACTTGTACCAGGTCTTCATCTTGATATCCCAGACAAGGCCTGATACCTGGCTTGACCCTGGCATATACTCTGGTAACCCCCTCACCTAGTATGTTCCACTCAGTTGGACTGCCTATGACTTGCTCACCTCCTGATGGCAACTGGAGTCCTCCAAAGTTCAAGAAATGCAGCTGCATACCTGCTGTGACTCAGGCCAGAAGCCAATGGGTGCTAGAGCAAGCCTCTCTGCTCAGCCAGAGCAGACAACTTGGGCTGAAGCTAACCCACCTACCCTGTTAGGGAGGGTTTCCAGAGGAGGTGCAAAGCATCCTGGGATGCTGGGGGACTGTAAGTTAACTTGAATCTGGAGGGGATCTGGGGCAGAAGTTCAATAAACAGATTTAACCTAAATCAGTTAAGTCTGATACTACATCCATCCAGGTTTATTTTAAACTGGTTTTGGCCATTTTGAAAGAGGTTTATGTGTACTGAACTTCTGTTATCTTACAGATTTGAACCAGTTTCTGATCATTTATACCAGTTTATGTGTAACTTCTGTCCCTAGCCTGTATGTCACCTCTCACAACAGCCTGAATCATATGTACATGGTAAAATGCCTTATGAGGTTACGGTTCTGCTTTATGCTGTGTATGTTTAAAAACAACTCAATGCTGAGCTAAAGGCATCTAAATCCCAGGAGGGTCAAAGCTGGGAAAGGTACTCAGGCTGGAGCTAATTGTGGACAGCAAGCCTAGTGGGATTAGGGATTGAGCCCGAAAGGCTTGTGGACCTGATTAGAGAACACAAGAGCCCTGTAGAACTGAGCAGAGACATCTAGCTTTGGGAGATAAATAAAGAGGGTGGAGCTCAATGGGGCATATCAGGAGTAAACACTGGCCAGGCTAAGACAGGAACAATCCAGTGGAAGGCACCTCAGGTTTTCTACAGAACTGTGGGCCTATTACCTAATTATAATTACTATCAAGTCATGGCAAGTGAGAGACAATTAGGCACTTTGGGATGTCAGGAGGGCCAGCAGGCAAGGACTGACCACCAGGGGGTGGCAGACCAGCCCAGGATACCCTAAGGTCTGCTACCCTGAAACACCTATCCAGGAAATGGGAGACCCTCACTTCTCTTCCTTAAAGAAAGGTGGTGCCCAGGAGGTGTCAAGGCAAGTGGAAAGAGAAAAGTATCAGACAATGTTCAGGGCACCCTGAAAAGTTGGAAGTTCCCAAGTGACTGTGAAGAGAGAACAGCTGAGTTAACTTTGGGTGTTTGGTGCTGTGTGGGCTGGACTGGGGACAGGAACTGTACAGGTATAGATTCTCAAAGCACCATGCTCTAGCACTGCATAGCTGAAAATAAAGCTCCCCAGACAGATCCAGGGAGGCCTTCTTCCTCGTGTGAAAGTTCTGTGTCTGTAGAGGCAGAAAAGGAAAATTAAAAAGCTAGAGAATACTTGGGACACAAACAGGATTATGAAGTTTAGAAACAATGCAGATCAAAAAATTGGGTTTTCAACTTACCAAAAATTTTGTACAGCAAATATCTGCTTTCTTTGAACGTTTGAATACAACATGGCTTTTGTTGTGATGTGCTAATGAGCAATAGAATTAGTCAACTGAATATTTAGCGTCTTGTGTAGATGCGCCCACTGTGACCTGTACAACATAAATTCACTTGTAATCTTATGCCAGAGCTGTATTTGCTACAGAATGTGAACAGGCTCATGTATAGTTTTGATCTGGCCAAAATACTGGAGTATTATTTTCATCTGCTTAGACTGTTGGCATATTTTTTCCACGCAGGCAAACAGCAACCACTTCCTTTCAGTCTAAGGTTTTTCTCTGCCCCAAAATGTCACTATTTAAGTGATATCAGTTTTAAATTTAATTTACGTAAACAGGACACAAACTGATTTGCAGCTAGCTTATGTCAGTCTAGTCTTTATTCAGTCAGTTATCTAAATGACTTGCAAAATAAAGTGACTAAATTTGATTTGACTAAAGTCTGAAGTTGGCCAGCTGTAGGTGAATCAAACTTAAATTGTTTTGGGCCAGCCCAGAGGACTTGGGCTTCTAAAATGGGATTCAAGCACCAAAATTCCATGTAAATTCCAAACTCCAATCCTGAAGTTTACTTAGTGTCACCATGTTTAGAAGCACTTAAACTCTATTCAGAAGTGGATCCAGGATTTTTCAAGAGAAGTATGTGGGAGTAATGACTGGAACTGGATGGGTTGCTATACCCCCTGCTCCTAGCTTTCTCCTCCCAACACTGGGGTGGGCAGACCATGCCATGAAGCAGCATCTGGGGACTTTTTAAAGTCCCCAAAACATGTAAAAAGTTCTCTCCTTGCTCAGAGGTATGCCCCCTGTCCTTGTCATCCCCCCTATCTCCAACATGCAGATGCTATCTTTGGTGTCCTGGGGATGGGGGGAGCTCCAGAGCTACTCCAGACAGGCTGTGTGTGGTCCATGTCCAGCCTGGGACAGGGGTAGCAGTGGTGATGGCAGCTAGGCAGGTTCCTCCTTCCTGTGCCAGCTCCCAGGCTGGTGGGGAACACCTGGGCTAAGTACAGATGGTCAAAAAGCCTGAGACTGAATCAATTCAATCTTTGCAGGTTAGTCTAAGCTTCATAGATTGAACCGACAAGCAAGTGAACAGACATTCACTTTTGATTCCAGAAATGCAACCACATGCCTGCAGTGGCCCAGGCCAGAAGCTGGAGGGTACTAGAGCTTACCTCCCTACTCAGCAGGAGCAGACAGCTTGGGCCAAGGGTACCCTGCCTTGCGGGAGAGGTGTAAAGCATGCTGGGCTGCAGGGGGACTGTGGGTTAACTTGAATCTGGAGGAGATCTGGGACAGAAATTCAATAAACTGATTTAACCTAAATCATTTAAGTCTGATACTACATCATCCAGGTTTATCTTAAACTGGTTTCAGCCATTTTGAAAGTGGTTTATTCAAGTATGTCACAGAACTTCTGTTGTGTTGTGTTACTGATTTGAACTGTTTTCCAATCACTTATACTGGTTTATGTGTAATTTCTGTCCCTAGGCCTGGAGGGGATGAAGCAGGGAGAGGGAACCTGCCCACTGCCACTACTGCTGCCACTGTCTTGGCCTGAGCCCAGCTTTCTTGCTGCCTGGCTGGAGTGGCCCTGGAGCTCTCCTTGCCCTTGGAACAGCGAGGTCAGCAATGTCAAGCAGAAAAAAGGGAAATGGGAGGGGTGGTGTAGAGAGGGGCTGTGCCTCTGAGCATGGAGGGGAAAGGGTGGGTATTCTTACTTTCTTCGGGGACTGCTGCTCCTGCCATGTGGTCAGAAAGGGGGCATGGTTGCTTCACTGCACCTGCTCTGTACTCACCCCTGATCCTGTTAGTGCCTTAGTTTTCAACCTTAAATTTTAAATCCCTAAGTTTGCTTTTGGATGTGCTCAGAAGCATCTCATTCTTCACATGGATGACACCTCAAAGGCTGAGCTGACATCTGAGCCCCATTCAGAAATGAATGATACACCTATCAGTTTAAGGACCATACAAAATGCAGTGAAAGCTGTCACTTTAATTGAAAATGGAGAGAGAGAGAAAGAGAGAGAGACACACAAGAATCAATAATTCTTGTTACAAGAAACAAACAAAATCTTACAAGAAGAATTTGAAGCATTAGAATATCTCGTGGCATCCATTCAGAGGGTATATATGACTGGAAAGATCTACTCTATGCATTTTGGAAACAACATAAGCCAACATAAAGCACACAAGGGAAACATGATCTGTGAGTTGTGGCTAAAAAGCAGTTGGAAAACAGTACTCAGATACTTACCAATGGCTTACTCTCTAACTGGTGCAGCTCTGAAGAGGTCTAATACTGGGGGCGTGTCTACACATGTGCTTTGATGAGCAGTAGCCTATTTTACTTCACCGTAAAGCGTCACGTAAAAAGCTGTGCAAATATGAGCGTGCACAGTAAAATTGGCTACTGTGCATTAAGCATCACTTAAAAAGCGCGTGCTTGCAGTACTGCGCATTAGGGCAGCCTAATGCACATTTCTTTAGTACCTTACATTGGAGGTAATAAATTTAATGCACATTAGGAAAAGCACTTTAATGCATGTGTAGACGTGCTTGCTGATATTTTCATTGATGCCTTGGAGGATTTGCAAATGGTACCAAGATAAAAGGTACTGAAAGCATTTTTGGGGGATATGGGTAGAATTCAAAATGATTTTGACTAATTGAAATAGTTGTCTGCAATAAATTGAAAGCAATTCAACAAGGACAAGTGCAAAGTACTATACTTTAGTAAAAGTAACCAACTACATGCATACAGAATGGAGAAGATGGGCTGGGAGGCAGGTTTGTAGAAAATCATCTGGTAGTTTCTGTGGATCACAAACTGAACATGAGTCAACAATATGCAACTGCAACCCCCCTCTCCCACAACAGCGTATGGGGATGTATAAACAGATGTGTATTATATATAAGACACTGAAAAAATCTTTTCTCTCTACTCATCCCTGATAGCACTCCAGCTGGGACTTTTGTTTCCAGTTTTGAGCGCTGCACTTCAAAAAAGTTCTGGATGAATTACAGAGTCTGGAGGAGAGCAATAAAAAATGGTCAGAGAGCTAGAAATTAAGAAGTAAGGAGAAGATTGAAAGAATTGGGTTTCTTTATTCTAGAGAAATTAAGATTGGGGGTAAACATGAGCATTCAAATACAAGTACTCCTCACTTTTTGTTATCCCAGTTAATGTTGTTTTATTATTATGTCACTGATCTATTAGAGAACATACTCGTTTAAAGTTGTGCAATGTTCGGTTATAATGTTGTTTGGCTGCCACCTGCTAGTAGGTAACAACTGTGATGTAATTGGATTCACATAACATTGTTTCACTTAAAGTAGCATTTTTCAAGAATGTAACTATGACATTAAGCGAGGAGTAGCTATATATAAACGATTGTTACAAAACGGAAGTTTTAAAACTTTCGTGTCCATTGGGGATAGGACAAGAAATAATTGGATTAAATTTCAGCCTGGGAGATTTAACTGGGTATCAGCAAAATCTTTCTAATTGTAAGGGTAGTTAAGCAATGGAATAGGTTACTTTAGGAGGCTGTAGCATTTTTCTGACTGGGCTGTGGAATAGTCATACCTAGTTATTAGGGCCAGAGCAAGTACCAGGCAAAGAACCAACGTCTAAACCCAGGGATCAGGACAGGGTCACAGATGGCTTCTGTAGCCAGTGGCCAAGGTGGAGTTTGGATACCAAGGCCATGGTCAGGAAGTCAGAACTAGGAGACTGAACCAAGCCAGGTTTGTGAAGTCAGTCAGAAAGCCACAGATGACAGGCCAGCAGCTCAGAGATATATTCAGAAGACATATATAAACACCAGGAATGAGGAACAGGAAACAAGGGCACGGCTCAGAGTGAAAGCAAGGGATTAGTGCAGTCTACAAGCCCACTGCTTGTGGTGCTCTGTGTTAGGGTGGGGTGACTTTCTACTAGTGCAGTAGCCAGTGATTGACTGTAGGAAGAATGACTCAGTTGGAGTGTTGAGTCACCACAAGGAATCTCCATAATGGGAGGTTTTCAAGAGTAGGTTGAACAAATATATTAGAGGGTCAACTGTAGCACTTGGGATGCTCAGGTCATCCTCTTATATTAGCCAAACCCAGGACTGTTTAGCTTCCCAGAAACAAGATGAGTCCAGTTGGCCATACAAATAGCTGTCAGCAATGGCAAAGGTATTATTGATCCTGACTTGGGTTAGGGTGGAGGGTAAACCACAGGTGCATACAAACATTCAAATGAACCAGAAGAAATTTACTGGTTTAGATTCTGTCTCTGAAAATCCCTACCAGTAGAGCACTGTACAAGCATTTGAATCTGGGCAAGTGCCTCCCAGACAACCTGAGCTGCTGAGGGGTCACAGCCAGTAGGTCCCTGTGCATGTATCCCAGCATGATCTGCAGGCTCCCCTGGCTGCTGGATATTGCCAAGAGCAGCTGAGTGCACAGGCCAGCCCTGACTGGGTGGCTGCCTTAGGAGACCATGCCCTTCCAGAGCTTCCAGGGAATCCCTCCTCTGGAGTGAAGGCCAGGGATTTCTCTACATATGAGTTGGACAGGTGGATTATCCAGGGCTCACTGTTCTTCCTGAGAGGGCTGGAGGAGTGCAGGTTCAGGTATAGGGGCCACCTTACCAGAAGGTTTAGGGGTAAAAGAGGAGCTTCCTCTATTGTTGGGGCTACCAGCACCTCACAGTCTACTGAGGGACCCTGATGTCCTCACCCACTTGTCCTCCTTCAGAGAATTTGCCTGTGGGACCTTTGACCATACTTAGGGGTTGCTTCAGGCCCCCAGACCAGAGGTTGGATGTCTTTCTCCAAGCTGCGGTTGATGTCTCCACCATGTGTGGACAATACACATGGCCTAGGGGGCTAATGGCTGTAAGGTCACACCCCCACCATGATGCTTTTCTCAGATATAGACCAGAGGGCCTTTCTCTCATCCTTGAGCATTTCATCCACCATCAAGGGAGAAAATAACTTGGTCTTAGTCATAGTACCCAGAGTCTCTCTCAAGGCCATCCTCTGTTGCTAGGATGAGCAGACGAATCCCTCCCTCAGACACCGGAATTACACCCATGCTACCCCACCTACCTCTCTAATGCAGCAGGAAGCATGGCCCCTTCCCACCTCCAAACTCTTATCAATAGTTCCACCAACCCCCGGCTTTGTGTTCCCCATTGTTGGGTGGGCCCTGGCTGGATTCTGATTAAAAACCAGCATTGTGAGCCAAGGATCACCCACCCCCTTCTCCTAGTTCAGCACCAGAGCCAAGGTTGAAGCTGCCAAGGCAGAGTCCACTTCACACAAAAGGTAAGTGGACAAGAGGGACCCAGGTACAGAGGACAACCCCAAATCCCACCCCCGTACGCTCCCTGGGGGAGTAACTATGCATAGTTTAGACCCAAGCATTTGGCATTTGGGTGGCCCTGCTTTTCTCCATAGTGGTGAAAGGCCCTAGTGGGTGTCCATACAGTCGAGGCCCCAAAGCGCATTCATGCTTGATTGAGTACACTGAATAAAATATTAAAGTTCCAAGCCTACAAACACACATATGTAGCTTTACTTTTTCGGGTAGCCACAAATCATAATTTTAATCCTTCTGTATCTTTCACATACTTCTATGATCCAGGCTTTTTTGTATTGAAAGTAATATTCATTTTTCCCGTGAAAAATGAGATATGGAGGAAATTTTTCAAGTATGTCACAGAAGCACTGATCCACCTGGAAAGCATTATAGCTTTAAACATTTTTTTAAATGTAAAAATCTCTTCTTAATTAAGTACTTTTCTATTTACTGCTCTCTAAAGCAGTTATTCATAAACAGAGATATCATATTTGGATTTAATCCAAAGTAAGATTTTGATATAGCAAAACTAAAGTTGATTATATTATTAGCTGAATATCAAAGTAGGAGGAATAATCATTTCCCAAATTATGATTTGTGTACCACACAACCTCCTCTCCATAGACCATTTTATTTCAAACAGGCAGAGAAAGGGATTTAAAAATAGTTAAGCATTGTAGGTTATTGTATTTTGAACAGTCTCATATGGGTTCAATACACTTTATTCTTCATGGGACACAGGGACACAGAATTTGACTCAGAGGAACTGAAGAAATTGAACAGAGGAGCAACGGTAAGTCGAAGGAACATATTTATCAGTCTTACAGGCAAATGAGCTGCTTTTTAAATGAAACAGCTACTAGAATGATTTGCCATTTCTCGTGGCACTGTGACAAAGCATACATAGTGACAGGAATTCAACAGAACCATCACTATAATTTGCAATACTAGTAGAGAAATTTGAGAACTGTTATTTTAATTGTGTTGTAATTTCTCCGTATACTTCGGTAATAAAAGTATTTAGATTGTGATGTGGCATACCAGAAATCAATGAATATCTATGTATGTTTGAGTGTCCACATATGGGCAAGATTTTTTAAAAGTCTCAGACAGTTACTTGTAAATGCTTACTTGCTGTATACCAGTACCCAATATTTATTTGGGGAACTTAAAGTATGTGCCACTGCCTCTTTTTCATTTGTAGCTGTGCAGACCTGCATTATATCTCTGGCATCACCAACAACTTAAAAGAAAAATTTTATTCCATCGTACTCTAAATATAGATTTACAACCTTCATTCTTCTAAAAAGCAACAGTAATTAAAGAGACAGCTTCAGCGATTTCAGTGTTTCTGTTGCAGTAAATGTTTTTTAAGGTCTCCCTGTCTGTCCCTGTGAAGAAAAGTACCTGAGATTTAAGTCTGCTTTCAAATAAGTTTCCATGTGTGTATGCACTTGGGGATCTGTAAGTTTGAAGAATAATAACTAACTGATGACTTATTACTTTTAATTCCTATTAGTTGAGTTAAAAGAGATTGAGCTGGATTTTATTCTTCTTATGCATTATAAATAAAATTCTTTACTAGCTTTGAGACTGCTACATTTGTTCCAATCCAAGGATGACAATAGACAAATGCAAGTACCAGCGATGGTATAATTTCTTGTGTTTAGTCTTTATTACTAGTGTTTTTAGAAATTCTATATAGCAATGATTTGCAGAGCAGCTCAAATTAACTCTAAAGGAGCTGGCTTGGGTACTAGAAGCAATATAGACACACAGGGTGCATCCACACGAGCATGCATGTGAGTCTTGCAGCACCTCAAAGCCCTCAAATTTGCAGCACAGGGGCAAAATTACACCCCTGGATATCCAGGAGCCAAAAAAAAACTGTGGGGGAAAAAAGTGGGACAGGGCTGGGCTGCAAGTGTGGGGTGGGTCTGGGTCAGGCAGTCATTGGAGGGGCTGCAGGAGCTGGCAGGGGATGGGGCCAGGTGGGCCAAGAATGCGGGAGGCTGGGGGAGCAAGTGGGAGTGGTGCATGTGGGCCCTGCAGGGGTGGCTGTAACCCCTGTGGGGGGCTGTAGCCCTTGTGTGGGGCTGTGGCATCTATGGATGCTCTGTAGCCCTATGGGGGGCTGTCTGTGAGATGTGCAGGAGGGCTGCACCCTGCAGGGGGGCAGGAGACCCACCCCTTCTGAGCAGCCCCCCCACACAGTTCCCCCACAATCCACCCACATCTTTTCACACACCCCACCTCCCCCCACATCTCTCCACAGCCACCCACATCCCTCCCTTCCCACCCTGCTCCTGCAAACCCCACATCCTTCCCAGCACACACCCTGTGTGCCCAGCTGCCAGACAGAATGAGACCTGTTGGCAGGAGCTGTGGCTGCAGGGGCAGCTGTCCCCACATCCTGGTTAGTGAAGGGGTCACAGGGAGGTCTAACTTCTCTATGGTAAGAAAACCAAAGGCAAACAGCAAAACATATAGGTATTTAGAATTAATTTTATTATGATGATAGAGACACTGGTAGGCTTCCAAATTGCTTTAACACTGTACATATATCAATAAAACATTGCCCAAGTGGTCGCTGTCTCTCTGTCTCTCTCTATATATAGTATCACAGTGCTTAGGGTCAGAAGGGACCTCGACCCCCTGCCCTGGGCAGGAACAGGTGCTGGGGCCATATCACCCCAGCCAAATATCTGTCTAGCCTCCTCTTGAAGACCACCAAGGTAGGAGAGAGTACCACCTCACTTGGGAGCCCATTCCAGAGCCTGGCAGCCCTAACTGTAAAGTAATGTCTCCTAATGTCCAGCCTCAACCTTCTCTCTAACAATTTGTGGTCATTATTCCTAGTAACCCCAGGTGGTGCCTGGGGGAACAGAGCCTCCCCCAATTCCCACTGGTCCCCCCCTGGTGAGTTTGTAAACGGCCACCACATTCCCTCTCATCCTTCTCTTGTGGAGGCTGAATAGGTTCAGGCCCTTTACCCTCTCTTCGTAGGGCCTGCCCCGCTGCCCCTTGACCATGCAAGTGGCCCTCCTCTGGACCCTCTCAATGCTATAGTGGTCTTTTGTTTTAATTGTGGAGAAACATGGATTTTGGGGGTATTTTGAAGAATGACTTTGGGATTTTTTTATCAGGGAT